ACAAGCTTGTACGGCTCAGTCCATCACAGGCCGGTGCTGAAATGCGCGAACTGCCTGGACTTCAACGCATCTCATCCTGAAACTCGAGTTCACCGAAAGGTGGACCACGAGTGCACGGATGGCGCATGTGAGAGCTTAGCCGCCTTTGCTAGGCGGCAATGGGGCCGTACTGACTTCGGAAATGCCGCCTTTTGTCAATGATAAGGATTCTACAGCATAATGAAGGTCATCGGCTGCTGGCGTTGAATTTACTTCTGCCACGGCTGCATAGCACTCTCGTAGACATGGTCTGCCTCCAGGAACCCTGTTCCGCTTCCCGTAAGCTCGTTGGCTACCAATACCACGGCTTACGTAAGAACGAGGAGGCTTGTATATTGTCCAAGCGTGGCATCCCCTGCCACACGGTTTTTGCTTCCCGCGACCTTGTTGTGGTCAAGGGAAACAACTATGGTATAGCGTCATGGTACCTTCACGGCACGGATATGCCTAGGAGGGAACTGGCGCTCTCTGAGCTTGACCAGGTCCTTTCCACATGGCCTGTGTCCGTCCCGCTCTACATCTGTGTCGATGCTAATGCTTGGCACATAGCTTGGGGCTCAGAGCTAACTGCTAGCAACCTGCGTAGGCAGGCCTGGCAGCGTGGTGAGTCACTCGTAGATTGGTGCCTGGAGAAAGGCGTTCGGATTCTGAATGATGACGAATCCTTACCAACCTTTGAATCCGAGCGGTATCACTCCTGGATTGATCTCACCCTACTGTACGGTACTCCCAGAGACGGCATCTCGCCCCGATGGGAGCTAGTGGACGACCTTTGCGGGTCAGACCACAGGTTACTCTACACAGAGGTAGACAGCCAGGGTGGCAATCTTGTGCTCCCGCGATTGGCCCATCGCCTCGTAGATATAGCCAAGGTTATGGACGGTGCTTCTCGGATTCCCTCTGATACTCCTTTACAGGGTATCACAGATTCCTTGAGCACCTTGGTAAAACAATTTACGCCCGAAGCCCCAGCCCCCTCTGACACCACCTGGTGGACGGGCGAGCTGTCTAGGCTGAAGGCGAAGCTTAAAAGGGCCCAGCGGACGTTCTACCGCCATAAAAGGTTAAACGGCCCGGATGCACCTTCCACGGCGCATTATCGGGAAATCCGCGACGTTGCCAGACGTAAGTTCTGTGCCGCTGTCAAAGAGGCCAAGGGAGCAGCTGCTCGTAGATTCTTTAAGGATCTGCGGCACTACTCTCGTTGTGTTGAACGAGGTTGTCCCCGAATTCCTCCTGCGGCCATATGCCCGCATGGAGTGAATCAAGCGGACTTCCTCCTACGTAGGCTCTTCCCCCGTGATCCCGAAAGGGCTGCGGAGGTCGATGCCTTGGTTCTACCGCCGCAAACCGATCCCATCCCGGCGGTCACCTACTCTGAGCTCAGAGAGGCGGCCGATGGTCTACGGAGAAGCGCGGCCCCTGGAAAGGATGATGTGACCAATGGCATCATTCTCGATACTCTCGAGGTGCTGAAGGACAACTGGTGTACCCAGTTCACTGAAGCTCTTGAGACTGGTATATATCCCGATGGGTGGAAGTCATCTAAAGGGATCTTCATTCATAAGACCGGCAGGGACCCCACCAAGCCTAACGGCTGGAGGCCAATCTGCCTGGTCGGTTCAGGTAGCAAGCTGTTCGAGCGTCTCATAGTAGAACTGCTTGCCTCTTGCCCGCAGATCCAGAAACGAT